TGTCAATCAGTAACTTGTTCTTTGTCAGATATTATCAACCGATTACTATTCCAATAATAAAATTAGTTACAAAATATTTAGTCAGTCTCCAACTTTATTTGCAAACAACTATGTCAATGCAATTCTCTTTATCAGCTTCATATTTCTTACAGACGACTGTTCTTGGCATTTCTTAACTTACTAAAGTATTCGTCAATTAACTGAAAATAATCACGTTCATCATTTTTTAACTTGAATTATTTGCCAATCAACTAAAAAATGGTCACTTTCAACAACTTTTCAACACTGTTCTTAACTAAAATTATTCTTCTCTCAACTAAAAATAGTCAAGCTTAACTTCATTCAACACTTTCTTCATTAACTAATAGTATACTTCGTGGAGTAAGAAAAATAGTCAAAGACACCCTTCGAGACATCAAAGACGCTCATATTTATCAAAGACGCACTCAAAGAAATCAAAGACCCACTCAGAGTCATCAAAGAAACTTTCTAAGACATTTCAGAGCCCTCAAAGGTAGTCTCTAAATTAACCTTCGTTCATCAAAGTTGTTCTCTGACCCACCTTTATTCATCAAGGAAGCTTTCTAAGACATCTTTGTACATCAAAGAAACTTTCTAAGTCACCTTCGGACATTAAAGAAACTTTCTAAGACGTCTTCAAGCATCAAAATAAATTCTAAACATCTTCGTGCGTTTAAAAAGTCTCTCCAAGACAGCAATAATACGTTCCGATATAATATAAATAACATTTGCACTCTTTAATGCGACTTTGAATAAAAGATTTACTCCTTAGAACTTCTTTGTCCATTAAATAAACTCTAACTGTATCAAACATTGTTCTTCATTCAATAAATAAATAGTATAAGGGTGACTTTTCAAGACATTTATAAACTAAGACATGCCATTATGTAGCCTCAAACAACTTTAAGTATTATATCAAACTAGGCATGTACAACGTTATGTACTAACAAACTTACGCATACAAGCAAACTTTACGCTTCAAGTAAAAATAAATAAAACTAATTGGTCTTCCTCTAAAAATAATCTTTCCGGCCTCTACTCTCCACAGACGCCGTCTTGTCGACCCGGCTCTGATACACAACCAACCTAACATGAACTTGAGTCCTGGCTTTGTTGTTGTTGACTCTTCCTTTTCACAGTATATACTCAAATGCTCTAAACTTTCTAACAAACGTGATCTAACATAAGCCTGCTTTCCTTTTATCTTTTTTTCTTTATCTTGTTTTCTCCTACGATCCCTTTCTTATTTCTATTATTACACCCTTTGTTACACCATACCTTACGTACCTCTAATCTTCCTCTAAGATTTCCATCTCCTCACCTCTCTTTCAACTACTTAATGACCGTGCCTTCCTCATTTCATCACAATCAACTTGATAATGGTCCAGGACGGACCGAAACGTCGTCGTCTCTTCAATTTCTAGTGTGTGGATTGGTCAACATTTTTCAGCTACGTTATTGTGACTCATTATCTGCATAAAACTGACTGACTTCTATGTAGTAGTAACAGCTTTCACTAAGACAGTTTCACTAGGCCATTTATAATCAAAAACTTTATAATAACACTTATAATGTCATAAACACAGCTCTTCAAGTAACTAGTTCACCTTTTCGTATGAAACTCGCCTTTCTGTTTATTATTATTATTATAATCTGTTAAAATATATTTTCTTAGCCACTTTATTTTAAAACTGTTGTTTGAACAACACTGTATAAGCCTACCTAACTTGACTTACCTGTACTAACCTAACCTAACCTGACTCTCCTAATGTAACTTGCCTAGTCCAACTTACTTATTCCTCCCTATCTAACCTAACATACCCAACCTAACCTAACTTAACTTACCTAATTTACATAGCCCAACTTACCTAACCTCCCCCACCTAATGTAACTTACATAAACTAACGTAAATTCCCTCTCCTGACCAAACTTACATAACTTGCCAACTTAACTAAACTTAAATTACCTATCCTCCCTTATGTAATTGAACATAACAGAACTTCTATTGCCTAACTTACATATCTTAATTAATAACTTACCTGACATAACTTACCTAACCCAACATACCTACCCTCTTCTACATGATGTAAGTTACATTACCTAACTTACCTGATGTAACTTACCCATCCTGACCTGACCAACACACATAATATACTAACCTAACTTACATAACATAACTTATCTACCCTCGCAAACTTATCCCTCCTCCCACTTTATGTAACTTACCAATCATAACTAACAGACCCTAATATAACCTAACTTATATAACTTACAAAACCTATCCTAACGTAACATAACTTAATTAAATCATTGTCTTATTCTGTCTGAAACATCAACTCTTCATTTATTTACCCAGACAACACTCTTTTACACTTACATGTAAAAACCTGAACTTGTATATTACACTCGCAAACTTGTTAAAACTTGCACACTTTTACAAAACTTAAACAAATACTCGGTTCACTCACTTACACAAACACATACTTGTACATTCTCTTTGTTCATTAACTTACACACTTTCTAAAACTCTCTCAAACTTGAATAACTACATAAATTTAGACAAACTAGCACAACTTGCAAACACTTAGACACTTTGATAAACTCTGATACATATACAAATTTCAGAACATGCATAAAAAGATTTTCAACTATTTTATCTATCTTATCTCATTGCTATTTTCCTCTGTTCTGCTTCCAATTTCTACTATTCCTTGTAAAATATTGTTTAAGCATCATTCCCTAAAATATCCCAAAAACCTTAACCTAACCTAACACCCCCACCCATCTCCCCTATCCTTGCTCAATTTATATTTCCTCATACTATTCAAATAATTCATAGGAAAGTCTGTTTTACTACATTTAATATTTTACATGCTTTCTTAATACATTTATCACATTGAGTCCATTTATTCAATAACCTTTGCTAAGTTTTATATTTTTCACAAATTAACACAGTAAAGTTAAATATCTTCTCAGTTATATATATGATTCTTGCTGGGCATTTATGTTTCGTTGTTGAATGTCTCATATTCGTTTCTTTATTTCATGGGTTAATTTATCAAATGGAGGTTTATGTATTTCAAGTGTTATTTGTTAAAGATGGGGTATTTAGGCATTTCAAACGACTTTATCTGAGGTCTCCACCTCACTGTAGCTTTCTGCTTCCTATTGCCAAGGTACTCCCTTATCCACCGGAACACTTTACCAGTTATTCCTGCCTGTTTCTGCAGCTTATATACCAGCCTCTTATGGGGTACTGTGTCAAAGGATTTCTGGCAGTCCAAAAAAATGCAGTCCGCCCATCCTTTACTTTCTTGCTTAATCTTTGTCACCTGATCGTATAATTATATTAAGCCAGTGAGGCAAGATTTACCCTCCCAGAACTCATATTGGTGGTTTGTCACAAAGTCCCTTCTCTTCAGATGTGTTGCTAGTTTTTTTCTCACGATCTTCTCCATCACCTTGCATGGTATACAAGTTAAGGACATTGGTCGGTAGTTCAGTGCTTCTTGCCTTTCACCCTTTTTGTATATCAGGACTACATTAGCCGTCTTCCATATTTCTGGTAGGTTTCCCATCTCCAGTGCCCTACTATACACTATGGAGAGGGGCAAGCAAAGTGCTTCTGCACACTCTATCAGTACCCATGGTGAGATTCCGTCTGGACCAACAGCCTTTCTCACTTCCAGATCAATCAGGTGTCTCTTGACCTCCTCTCTTGTAATTTTGAACCCTTCCAAGGCCGCCTGGTTTACTGCCACCTCTCCTAGCGCAGTAACCTCACCTTTTTCTGTTGTGAAGACCTCCTGGAACCTCTTGTTGATTTCTTCACACACCTCTTTGTTATTCTTTGTGTACCTGTCCTCACCCATTCTAAGTTTCATCACCGGTTCTTTCACTGTTGTTTTCCTCCTGATGTTACTGTGGAGTAACTTTGGTTCGGTCTTGGCTTTATTTGCTATATCATTTTCATACTTTTTCTCTGCTTCTCTTCTCACACTAACATACTTATTTCTGGTTCTCAAGTATCGCTCTCTGCTTTCTGGTGTTCTGTTATTTCGGAGGTTCCTCCACGCCCTTTTGTTCAGCTCTTTTGCTGCCATACATGCCCTATTAAACCACAGATTCTTATTTTACTTCTCTGGTTTTACCTTTTGAGCCGGGATAAACCTGTTTACTGCCTCCTGACACTTTTGCATGACGTAGTCTATCATGTCTTGTACGAACGTAGCTCTGAGTTCTGTGTCCCAATGTATTTCCCCTTAGGAAACGTCTCATTTCCTCATAATTCCTCTTTCGGTATGCTAGCCTTTTGTTTCCTAATTCTTTTTTTTTTTGGGGGGGGGGGGGGGAGGGGAGGTAAATCCTAGCTCTACCAGGTACTCAAAGATCAATACACTGTGGTCACTCATTCCAAAGGGGCCTTCCAACTTAACTTCCCTTATATCCGACTCATTTAGGGTAAATATCATATCAAGCATAGCTGGTTCATCCTCTCCTCTCATTCTTGTCGGTCCCTTGATGTGTTGGCTTAGAAGGTTTTTGTTGCCACGTCCAGCAGTTTAGCTCTGTGTTTGTCTCTGTTCACCTAGTTTATCTTCCTGTGGTTGAAGTCTCTCGTGATTAGCAGTCTAGATCCGTTCCTGCTAGCGAAAGAATCTGCTCTCTCTATTATATTAAGGTGTGTTACAGGTGTTGAGTGGGTGGAGTAACCAGGTGTGTTACAGGTGTTGAGTGGGTGGAGTAACCAGGTGTGTCACAGGTGTTGAGTGGGTGCAGTAACCAGGTGTGTCACAGGTGTTGAGTGGGTGCAGTAACCAGGTGTGTCACAGGTGTTGAGTGGGTGCAGTAACCAGGTGTGTCACAGGTGTTGAGTGGGTGTAATAATCAAGTGTGTCACAGGTGTTGAGTGGGTGCAATAATCAAGGTGTGTCACAGGTGTTGAGTGGGTGCAATAACCAGGTGTGTGTCACCCACAGGTGCTGTGCCGCTGGAGAAGCACCCAGACAGCAGCCCCAATACCAACAGCACGTGAGTCTATTTCAGTTGATCTGAGAATATTTTCTTAGCTCTGAATCTTTCATTCCTCCTCGTCCTCCCTAGTCCCTTATGCCTTCAGTTGCACCTCTTACCCCTCCTTGCCCCAACACTACTCTCCTTGCTTCACACACAAACTCTGCCTCTTTACCCTACCCCCCCTACCCCCAGTCCTCTGCCCAACTGATCCCATCCCCTTTATCTAGCCTCGTCCTCGCTCTACTGACTATGTCCTATTTATATTTCCATGACAGCTCTTATCCTGGCCAATCAGGCAAACGCTGCTGATAATAATTCCCTCCAAGGAAGATTATTAGCACAGACACCATATCTTACCACTGTAAAATCTTTCCTTGTCGGTGTGACTATTTTCTGTTGTTTGGATAATGCCTCATCCTTTTCATCAATGTGTGCACGTGTTTTGTGCGGGATACTCGTAGCGAAGGCTCTTTGACATTCCACACACAGGCAGTTGGCCCAAGTTTTTCCGTCTTGTGTGATTTATCGTGCCCGACCATGAAGTGCTATCTGGGTTGTGTGAGAAGATTTGCGGTCCCTGAGCCCATGTTGGTGATGCCTGATGCTCTCTTCTCTCCGGAAGGTGTAGCAGCCTCTTTCTTGTGATCTGTTATCTTGCATGATATGCAAGAGAAACTGACCTGAAGTTTGGTGCCTCCTGAATGTCTCTATTGTTGTATATTATTACTACACTATCTATCTTCCAAACTTCTGGTATTTCTCGAACTTCAGAGACACTTTATCATAATAAGTAACAATTATAAGTCTTTAGGTGTTTCCCCTGGTATCCATGGAGAGATTTTGCATTCTGAGCTAGACACGACTGCAGCACCATTCCTTCCCTCGTCCCTTCCCAGATTCTGATCCTGACCACCTTCCAAGCGCTATATAGTCGTAATGGCTTGGCGCTTTCCCCGATAGTTACCTTCCTCCCTCTCCCAGTGCCCTAGTCGTGTCCAGCTCCAGCAGACGACTCCTTACTTCGTCTCTGGTAATCGTCTGACTCAGTATAGGCTTATTCAGTGTTCTTTTAAAATATGTTTTCCCAAATTTAGAATTTCGTCATGTTTTTTGACACCTGTTTTCCTTCCTAATGTGGCCGTGGAGCAGTTGGCGTCGGGTCCTTTGATGATCTGCAGTTTCTTTTCAAGTTATCTCTGTTTCTCTCCTCACTCATTGACACCCTTCCCGGGCCTTCAGGTACCTTCCTCTGCTTTCCTTCGTTCTGTTCTTCCTGCTGTTGGTCCATGCCCCCGTGCTTGCTTACTTTCTCTTACACACGATAAAACTATGGATTGATATAAACAGATCCACAAGGGCCGTGATGAGGATTCGAACTTACGCCCAGGATGATCCCAGACGCGCCTTAGTCGACTATGCCCCGACATGGTAAATGAATTGCAACCGGAAGTGCTACTACCCTCACATGGATCCTGCAGCCTCTCCGAGACACAAACCAAGGTTTAACACAATTCTCCCATGCAATTTGTTCCTCCCATGATTTGTTCATTTGATGCATCACGCTATTGTGGTTTCTGTGTGTATGGATTGATATACGTTACCTTTTCCTGTCTTTGGTCAAGGACAAGCTTGTCGACTGCCTTCTAACATTATTTACGCATGTCATATTTGGCTTTCCATCAGAGTTATAGGTATATTGATATTCCTCATTCTCTCTCATTTCTTTTTCGTTTCATCTTCAGGATGCCTTACGCAGATGCATTTTTACGTTCTTATCCCTTCACTGAAAGGGGTATTTTGACATCTGAAAGATACTCGGATGTTAGTATTCAACGACTGCTCATTCCCTTGGAGGCTTCCAACTTGATATCCCATATATCATCAAGCTCATTCACACAATAGCAAGTTAAATCTGGCTGGATCATAATTTTTCCTCAGCCTTGTGACCCTCATGGCTGAGGGCCTTGTTCTGACCCACAAGGCCTGATATTTTGGCTTAAAAAGTTGGTTGCTGGTGTCTCCATTAGTTAAGATCTCCAAGTACTCACCTAATTGTACTCAACTAATTGTGCTTGCGAGGGTTAAGCTCTGGTTCTTTGGTCCCGCCTCTCAACTGTCAATCAACTGAATTACAGATTCCTGAGCCTGCTGGGCTCTATCATATCTACACTTGAAACTGTGTATGGAGTCATCCTCCACCACATCACTGCCTAATGCATTCCATCTTTTAACTACTCTGACACTCAAAAAGTTCTTTCTAACGTCCCTGTGGCTCATTTGGGTACTCAGTTTCCACCTGTGTCCCCTTGTTCGCGTACATCCATGTTAAACAGTTTATCTTTAACTACCCTGTCAATTCCTCTGAGAATTTTGTAGGTAGTGATCATGTCTCCCCCTTACTCTTGTAATGTCGTGAGGTGCATTTCTCGCAGCCTTTCTTGGTAACGCATGCCTCTTAGTTCTGGGACTAGCCTAGTGGCATATCTCTGAACATTTTCAAGCTTCGTCTTGTGCTTGACAAGGTATGGGCTCCATGCTGGGGCCACATACTCCAGGATTGGTCTTACATATGTGGTATACAAGGTTCTGAATGATTCCTTACACAGGTTCCTGAACGCTGTTCTGATGTTAGCCAGCCTCGCATACGCCGCAGATGTTATTCTTTTGATGTGGGCTTCAGGAGACAGGTTTGGTGTGACATCAACTCCTAGATCCTTCTCTCTGTCCGTTTAATGAAGGACTTAATCTCCCATTCTGTATCCTGTGTCTGGCCTCCTGTTTCCACTGCCTAGTTTCATTACCTTACATTTACTTGGGTTGAACTTTAGTAGCCATTTGTTGGACCATTCATGCAGTCTGTCTAGGTCATCTTGTAGTCTCATACTGTCTTCCTCCGTCTTAATCCTCCTTATAATTTTTGCATCATCAGCAAACAATGAGAGGAATGATTCTATACCATCTGCAAGATCATTTACACATATAAGTAACAGTATGGGCCCAAGGAATAAACCCTGCGGGACTCCACTTGTGACGTCTCGCCAATCCGAGACCTCACCCCTCACAGTGACTCGCTGCCTTCTGTTACTTAGGTACTTCCTTAACGAGTGGAGTACTTTCCCTTTCACTCCTGCCTGCATCTCCAGCTTTCGCACTAGTCTCTGGTGTGGCACTGTGTGAAAGGCTTTCTGGCAATCCAAAAATATGCAGTCTGCTCACTCCTCTCTTTCTTGTTGCCTGATCGTAGAATATAATTAATCCTGTGAGGCATGACTTGCCATCCCTGAAACCATGTTGGTGTTGTGACACAAAGTTCCTTCGCTCCAGATGTTCGAATAGCTTTTTTCGCACAATTTTCTCCATTAGCTTGCATGGTATGCAAGTTAGGGACTGTAGTTCAGTGCCTCCTGTCTATCCCCCTTGTATATCTGGACTACGTTTGCGCTTTCCAAATTTCTGTTAGTTGACCTGTTACCAGTGATTTGTTATACTCCATGGAGAGTGGCAGGCACAGTGCTTCTGCTCCTTCCTTTAGTATTCATAGTAATATTCCAACCGGGCCTATAGCCTTTGTCACATCCAGCTCTAGCAAAAGCTTCCTTACATCTCCACTGGTAATCTCAAATTCCTCTAGTGGTGCCTGGTTAATTATTCCTTCTCTTATCTCTGGAACTTCTCCTTCCTCTAATGCAAAGACTTCCTGGAATTTCATTTGAGTTCCTCGCACACTTCTTTGTCGTTTGTAGTGAATCTGTCTGCCCCTATCCTCAGTTTCATTATCTGTTCCTTCACTGTTGTCTTTCTCCTGATGTGGCTGTGCAGCAATTTGGGCTGGGTCTTAGCCTTGCTTGGTATGTCGTTTTCATATTGCCCTTCTGCCTCTCTTCTCACCCTGACGTATTCATTCCTGGCTCTCTGGTAACCTTCTCTGCTCTCAAGTGTTCTGTTATTTCTATAGTTTCTCCACGCTCTTTTACTTTGTTGCTTAGCTAGCCTACATCTCTGATTAAACCATGAGTTTCTCATCTGCATTACATTTTTTACCTATTGGGCCGGGAAAACTTTTCTACTGCCTCCTTGCACTTCAGCGTGATGTATTCCATCATGTCTTGGGTCGTCTTTCCCCTTAGCTCTGATTCCCATGTTATAGCTGTTAGGAATTTTCTTATCTCATATTTTCCATTACCAAATGCTAGCCTTCTGCTTCCAGTTCCCTTTCTCGATTACTTTAGCTCTTTTTCCACCAGATACTCAAACGTCAGTACACTGTGATCGCTCATTCCTACTGGGGCTTCGAAGTCTATTTCCCTTATGTCGGAGTCATTCAGAGTGAAGACTAGGTCGAGTCTCGCTGTTTCATCGTTTCCTCTCATCCTAGTGGGTTCCCTGACATGTTGGCTTAGAAAGTTTCTGGTCGTGCCTCCATTAGTTTGGCTCTCCATGTGTCCTCTCCTCCATGCGGTTCCATGTTCTCCCAGTCTACCCTTCCGTGATTGAAGTCCTCCATGATGAGCAGATGGGATCGATTTCTACAGGCAGCGGAGGCTGCCCTCTCAATTATGTTATTAACTGCAATGTTGTTTCTGTCATACTCTTGCCTGGGTCTTCTGTCATTTGGTTGAGGGCTATATATCACTGCTACTACTACTCTAGGTCCTCCCATCGTCATGGTGCCTATTATGTAGTATGTAAACTCCTATGTGGTTCTCTCTCTCTTTCCAGTTTATCTTGCCCTGGGTTAAGGTCCTTGTAATTAATAATCAGGAGCCATTCCAACTGCCGCTGAAACTATTCTTTTGTTACAGTAAGTATTGTCCTTTTGATTCTGTCAGTCTCCCGTCTTGCTCACCTGATATTTAGTTGATGGTTCACGATCACTGCTGTTGCTATCTTGGGTTCCTTCCTTTGGGGTCTCTAATGTACTCGTTGCGTCCAACGAAGCATTGTATAGCCATTTACTTGAGCCTCTACTCTGTTTCTGTCTGGGGTCATAACCTCAAATGCTCATTTCTTTCTGA